CGCCAAATCCAAAAATCGAAAAAACCCAGGTCATGCATTGATACAGTAACATTTTGCAATCTGAGTAAATTATAGTCTTTCTCGGTTCAAAAAATAAATTAATTAAATTTTTTTATAAAAATAACTATTTAATCATTTATATTTTAATTTCATTAATAATTTATTTTTTTGTATATTTTTTGTTATATTATTGATTTTTTTCAAATTAATTTTTATTTGATGTCTTATTTTTTTATCCTCTTCATTTCTTTTTCTTCAAAAAAAAAATCAAAAGAAAGACAATGTTTTTTTTAAAAAAATATTAATCTAATAAAAAATTAAGATATTGAAGAAATTAAAATAAAAAATTAATTAATTATTAAAAAAATTAATTAATTCATTTGTCCGATCGAAAGAGATTAATTTATAATTTACTCTTTGAAATCTTCATTTTTCTTTTTTTTTTTGAAAAATGTTTGACGACACCATGATGACGGACATCATTTTCAAAAATGAAATATTTTTAAGGATAAATTTAAAAAGTGAAAAAATTAAATGACATAATATTAACTGAAATAAAATACCTAATTTTTTTCTTTCTTTGTATTCATAAAAAAAAATACTATCCTTATAAAATTATGAATAATTTTTTTTTACACTATTGATGCCGTATAGTACTAATTTTATTTATTTATTTTTTTTTTTTGGGTTTCTTGGACGTACGTGAAAATAATAATAAATGTCGGTAGAATTTGACAAACCGACAAATACGACCCAGCAAGTCTTACAATGCCACGTTATGAGTTGTTTCCATTTTTGGTCTTTAATGATTATCGTCGCTACCGATTCGATACTGTCAGAGCCGAAATTTGGTATGCATAGATGAGATGAATTTTGGACTTAAATCAAACCTTACAAGGGGCCCGACATATCTTCTCGGTAAGTTCCATTTTCGTTTTCACTTGGGCTTGGTCGGTTGCAAAATTATTCAGTTTCAATGCTACCTGAAAGAGAAATGAAATCCTACGTAAATGTAGCACATGACTAAAAGAGTTGGTTCGTGTCTAGCATAAATGAACGGTTGTAATCCTAACTTTTGCTAAATAAAAGCTTGTGCCTAACTCCTAGACATGAGAAATACATAGAAGTACGCAATCCCAGAAGATTCCAAATTTGTTTTCTAGTTCATGCCATCCATGGAAAGTAAAGATTAAAAAGCCAAACATATAGGGCAAGGCTTATACGTGTTTATGTATGAAACGGGTAAAGATTCATAGGGATAATGACTTGTGGAGTGATATCCATTGATCATCCAAAAAAAAAAACAAATTGTGTAGTGATCACTATCATACTCTTAAGTATGAGTTGTTTATGCTTGCTTTTGGTTCAAAATCTTAATCTATTTTGCATTCTTCATGCTATGATAAAATAGTATATTAACTTTTTATTTATATTTGTCTGATAAAAAAATTTAAATTATGATTATTCTTAATTAATATTGATTTCATGTGGTACAAAATTAAATTCGACGACTAATAGTTTTAAAAAAATAAAAGTATGAATAAAAAAGTGATATTATATAACAATTAATAGCCTTTTTAATTTGTATATATATAAAAAAATCTCTTCGTAACATAGTATTGTTAGTTTTTGTGTGAATTAAGATTATATCATCTCCAATCATTTGTACTTTTTTATTTAGAAAAATATTTTTCTGCGTTTGAATTATTTTCAAAATTTAGTACATCTTCTTACAAATCCAAGACTCAAACCCACATCCTTTGAACAAGGTAAACAAGTATTCGAAGACATGATAACCCTCCGTTGGTATCCTAATGATCTTTTTTTTAAAAAATATTAAATAAAATCATTCATGCTATGATTAAGGAATCTGTAAGAAATTATTTTTTCTATAAAAACAAGTTAAATAAACCAACAAGATGTTGTTTGATTACTAAAAAAAAATATTCAGAATGAAAATACAAAAATGAGAAACAAAATTACTCTTTTGTCCTAAAGAGATTTATCTAATTTAACTTTTCACACGAGTTTAAAAAAATTATCAATTGTTATGTCATATCAATATTTTTTATTCATATTTTTAAAATATATATTTTTTAAATTATTACTTATAAAATTTAATAATCTACATTATATGAACCGAATATTAATTTAAGGAAAAAATATACCAAACCAAAATTAAGGTGCTAAAATCAAAAGAAAAATCATTAAGTTAATTATGATTAAGTTTAAAATAATTATGAAAAAATAACATACTAATAGAAATGTTTCACTTCTAAAATTTTGACATGCAGTAAAGTCCCTATAAAAATGAATATTTTTAGTGTAACAAAAAACGTTTTTTGAAAATTTTATGTTAAAGTTGTTTGTATTTACAAGAAGAAAGTATAAAAAATCTTTTTTTTTTTTTTTTGCCAATGAAAAACAAAAAATAAAAGAAAAGATTGATTTTCTTTATCAACTTAATGTATTTAGAAAAGTATATTTAGGATAGATAGATAAATAAAATCTTTTTGAGACAAAGGAGTAGAAAATTAAAATAGTATTTTCATTACAAGCATATGTTTGGAATAATAATAAGGAATCAAAATAAAATTTAAATTTTTTAATATCGAATTATTAAAATAGCCAATAATAGAGGTTGTAACGGTGATAGAAACAGTCATACACAATAAATAAAAATAATATATCTATATTTTAAATAAAAAAATATCATTTTCATTTTTTATTACCATCACAATACTATATTTAAATTTTATTTTTATTTTCAGTATTCTCGTTTCATTTTTTTTAACTAAACACCTGCAAAAACGAAATAAAACTTTTTTCATCATTTCCATCATTCTATTTTTTACTACCAGATAAACAGCTAAGAACTAATTCACTTCAAGGTCATGGAAGAAGTTTGAACATATACGATATGACTACCTACACCATACAAATCCTCCACTCAGACCGACTTTCGGAGTTTTATTATCTCTTTTCCTTTAGCGACAAAGATGGATAACCTGTAGATTCTTGCCAGCTCATTAAAATCACAAATTCCACCGTCACGACAAACAAAAATAATGGACTTGCTACAATACGAGGTTCATTAGCATTGCCGACTCCTAGACTATGACGGGAACCAGAAAACAATAGAGCTGTGGCTATAAAAGGTTCATTAGCCAACATTGACTTCCCTAGCGAGAACCAGAAAATAACGATAGAGTTCCTTAGCCAGCATTAACGTCTATAGAAAATAACCATTATTTTCCCTGCAGAGTATCAAGAAAAAAACGATCTGTCTCCTTGGTGGACTTGGTGAATCTATGGAATAGAAACAGGATACCCTTAATTCCTTCAGCTTTGAGATCAATCTAAGATCACCCTGTAAGCATTTGGTGCTGTCCTTTGAAAAATTACATTCCTTCCACACCAAACATTTTGAAACAGAATCTGAACTGGAGAACAAAAAGGCAAAGCCAAAAGGGGATTTTTCAATCTAGGTCACTACAGCTACAGGACCCCCTCGTCCCACTTTACAAGGTTAAACCTGTCTATTTCTTAATAGATCATGAAATCAAGATGGCGATTTCAAAGGGCCATAGAAGCAGAATAATTCGCGACTTCTATTGGCTACGAATGAGAATCAAGACCAGGAGGACCACAGAGAAATTCAAGCTAGCCGTTATCAAATGCAGACCTTCTTCCTCAGTCAGCTAAAATAACTACACAGAGCTTTCATTGTGGTCCTCTCGTACCACAATGAAAGCTGTGTGTATTGGCTGCATCGAAGAGTTAAATATTAGGAGGACATTCTCTTCAATGCAGCAATGTGTTTATTCCCTCTTTTTTTACAGAAATTTGGCCCAAGCTTGAGGAAGACAAAAATCCAGGGGCTTGATCCCGAGTCTACACTACAACTCATACGTGCTTGTGACTAGTAATACAAAGAAAACCACCCCAATACAAACGAACCTTATCCCTCACTATAATCTTCTGTTTTATTTTTATTTTTTTGCAAGGAAAAAGATATCTTAGAAAATCCAATATCAAGTAATGGGAGCTATTTTCTTTAGAAGGTTTGTTATAAGAAAATAGCATTCCAATTATTCTCCAACAAAACAAACCTGTTCAACTTTTTATGTCATATCCAAAGGGTCCGGTAAACACCAAAAGGAAACCTGCCACTAAGAGCTGCACATTAAAGAAACAAATACCACATGAACAAAGTAAGGATCCAATAATAGAGAGAATCTTTCCAACCAACACACAGTTTAGGAAGAATTGAAAACCACAAGAATAAAGGAGAAATTATATATTTCTTTACATTATCATGTATGGCGAACAACATTACCCAAAACAGGAAAGATTAAAAAGAATTGGCATATACAACAGCTGGACCAAGATCATCAATGGTTTCATGGTTATTTGTGAAAATGGAAATTAATAGGCCAACAATAATTCGTTCAATGTTAGCTTCTTCAGCATGAGAGCATGAACATTAAATGGAAAGCTCGTTTTTCTGGTCGATCATCTTTTAAAATTTACAGGACACCATGAGTAGTTAATCCTGCAAGAGACCAGGCAGACAACTCTACAGTCTCAGTGTAAAGCAGTCGAAAGAAATTATTTGACCAAAGTACAACCACATGTCCTCCTATACCTATCAGAGGCGGTGAAGAGTATTTAACTCTCAAATCTACATTTCTTTAATTAGTAACCTTCAAATCCCTTCTCAAAAGAGGAAAAAATCCACTTTGGTTTTTAATGTGCCAAGCAACAACATTTCATTTTCGAATGAAAACCCATGAAAGCACACTCTTAATCACAAAAGGGCTTCTGTACAGGATATACATAAAACCCAAACCAGGAATTCTGACACGAACAATATACATCAGATACAGCTAACAAGTTGGCCTGGAGGTGACTGGTGATGTTTGGTTACAAGAGAAATGCTAACCAGCTATGTGAGCATAGAGCATTTACAAAAAACAAAAGAAAGAAAGAGTTTTAAGTTAAGCAGAAAACCCAGATTCCATCGCTTGCAAGATTGCAGCAGTATTAAATCTAAAATTTCTGAAGCTCTTGCCAGGGCCCGTGTCAGGAGGATGAGGATCAGATGCAGGCTTATTAAAATGGCTCTCCGTTATCACTGTGCCACTCCCTAAAGAAGTGTTCTTCGCTTTCCACACGCACATAGCTTGACAGATATGAAAAAAGAATCATCAGTGAAAAATGGGGTTGTCACCTCATTGATTTTTTATACAAAGACTGTTGTTACTATCTTAAGAACAGACGATCACATATAAGAACCTATATGTGGCTTCAGACCCTTGTAAGATAGCAAATTCTGACATTTATAGAAGTGTAATCATTGATCTCCCAAATATAAAAGGCATATTTCTCTTCTCTAATCTTATTAGTATGCTTTAACATTCTGGAATCAAAAAGAGAGGTCAAACCTTTGAGAGGCATATCAGATCTTGGGGCTACAGGGGGCTGGTGTGACGAAATCCATGATCTCAAAGACCTGTAAGAAGACATTATATCTATCAAAAATAGCTAAAAAAAGGTATAAGGTGTGAAACATCTGTACCACGTGTACCAAAGTACTCACGTTAAAAACGGAGCAACCATGTAAAGCTTGAGGCCAGTGATGCTGCGAGATATTACTTCGTAACTTGCTGGCTGAAGTTCATCAAGCCACTGCCATGCAATTTCCTGCAAGCAGACAACATAAATGGTCACATTCTGCAAGCAACCAAGATTTGATATTCATTCTATTGCCTAAAAGATAGGCCAATAAAAAAGTTAAGCAGGTCATTCCTCATTGATGAAAACAGATGACAGATATAGGCTAGGGTATAGAAGCCAGAGATGGGAAATTGCGGGCTAATAGGTTAAAGACCAAAAGCATGACAGACAGTCCTACTAAGATTCTTCAATCAAAGTAAACACCCATTTTATTGATGTCTGTTGGCATCCTATATCATTTGTTGGTTAAGTTGAGTTAAGAAAAAACTTAATTAATCATCTGAGGCAATTCTTAATGTTTCTATGCAAGTAGATACTAAGTTAATGAAATAACATATAAGTATAGATGAATCTATATAAGAAGAAGTCACATACACTGATCTCTTTTTTTGTAAGTGGTGCAAAGGCAGTATCATCCTTAACACCAGCAATTATGTAGAGACGCACCCTCTGCTGTCCAAACATCTCTTCAATGTAGTCAGCTTTGTTAAGAAGATTTGAAACATCGAAACCGGTTTCCTCCAGCACCTGTATTCCACAACAGAAAAGGCAGGTTAATGACTAATTTGTGCATGTGTGTTTTGGTGTGTGTGTTGTTGGGGGGCTTTTTTTTTTTTTTTTTTTTGTGTGTTGGGGGGTTGTGTGTGGAGGGGTGTTTGCAGTCATTTGCATCCTCCTAATGGTGCTTTTAATCAATTTTCTCTAGTAGTATTTAAACGTATACAGCGGTCAATCAAAGTGCTTTCCTAAGAGAAGCTCTGCCCCCAGCCACCTAGAATCAACTAAAATAATTTACAGTAGTGCTTATCAGCAAATGGATTAAAATAACTTCTTATCAGTAATAGAAACTATTCCACTTTGGACAAGGAAAATGGTTGACTCAGAGCAAGCCAGCATTTGGATTGGAAACTCTAAAAATTCTAAATCTAATGATGCAGCCAACGAAAGAGAAGTTTATATTTTAGTTTAATTATAGAATTTGAGATTTCTTGTCAAACTAGTCTAACTAGGAATTCATACTTGGGAATAATTAATAATATTTAGGAATTAAGCTCCTCTAAGAACTAAAATAATAATTACGAGTTTTCTATCACAGATGGTTTTTCTTTTCCTATCTGGATTTCAATTCCCTATTTTGTCTGGAACTGTTAAGGCTTTTAATGCCTCCAGAAGGAGCACCTAGTCTATGTAATCAAAAAAGGGTGATGGACTTATGTGTATTTTAGTTTAGCATAAGGTTGTTGCCTTGGCTGTTCTGTCTCCTCTCTCTTCTCTAACCACCGATTTCTTCTATTTCTTTCGTGTTACAGTAAAACTCAGTAACTATTCACTGCTAGAGTTAAAAAACTAATTTCTACCTAAAATCCCTATAGCTCCATACCTAGCTAGCCCTGCATCATCTAATCACAGAGTACGACATAGAAGTATTGAAGTATGAAAATTTAAAATTCACAGAAGAGAAGAATTTTGTGCCTAGAAGGAATTTTTGGTAGGGTCGATACAAGTTTATGGCAACAAGAGTGGAAAGATGAAGAACCATTAAAAAAATTCTCCTTCAGAGTCAAATCATAATCTGTGTCTTTCTTCCTTCAGGTATCTCAATACTGGACAGAATTTTGAGATCCCAAGCCCACTGTTGAATGAATTTATCAAGCTGTCCACTATTGAAACATCTGAAGCCAATCTTTGTTTTACTGAATCAATAGCACCATTCAGCATAAAAGTAACTACAACTGCTAATATCTAAAACTTCAATAAATTGTCACTATCACTAATCCACTGGTTCAAGCAAACAGATTATTGCATTTCATACCAAATTAGATGCTTTCAAAGATAAATGAACGAGTACAGAGACATTCCAACAACGGAGAAAAGCTTACTTCTCGGATAGCACAAGCATGGTCTTCCTCATCTTTGTTCTTTTTACCCCTTGGGAAACTCCAGCTTGTCCCTTTCCATCCCTTCACTAGCAAGCACTGTCAATTACACCAACCAAGATAAGAAATTTGATAAAGGGAAATCACAAATTCATAATCATGTACTAAAGTGTTGAATAGCTCTGACAACGTAAATAGTTTAAGTCTATTCCTCAAATTATACAGAAAAGCCTTCACAGAGGCCCCAGCATTAAAAGTTAAAACAGGGAACCAGGTAAGTATGCTTTAAAGGTCAGCATTAAACTTTAACACGCTCACCCAGGCCATTGCCATATACGCAAAGCAATACATCTTAAAAAAAAAAAAAAATAGACACCATCTCAACTATGTCCACCATTCAAAACACTTTTGGGCATATGAGTTCCCTAACTACGCTGTTATCTGAGGATCATCTTCCTTCTTTCCTTTTATTTTTCAAATTTTTCTCCTCTCTCAGGCAAAGGCTAGATCTCTTATCCGTGGAAGATAAATGCACCACTTGCACCCATTCACAAAACAATTTATGCCATTGAGCTTACCTGAACTAAAGTTTTCTCCAGCTAAAAAATTATTTCACACCAAATCACTAATCCTCCAAGCTTCTTACTAATATGTCCTTAAATTCAATTCAGCATCATATCAACTCTCCCATTTCCATTTCAATTAGTTCAAAATTCAACATCTTCATCAATACCAAAAACTTTAATTTCTTTTAAATCAAAATAACACTGACTTTCTCTTTCCCCTTTTCTTTTATAGCTTGAAAATATCAACAATCAACCACAGAATAACACAAACAAAATACGAACAAAACTACAATTCATAGCAAATCCATACAAAATTTCACACAAAACAAACATCAATACTACTACGTATAACTATCTTTCACTAATAAAAGGTCCTCACCCGTTGGAAAGTCTCATCCAAAATAATCGCACCGGTCACCGGAACTTTAACTTTGTAAGAAGTAAAATCCTTAAAAATATCATCAATATGAGCAACATACGGTCTCAAAACATCACAACTGTTAAACACTGCAACTTATTAAGGGAAAAAGAAACCTTAAACTCATAATAAAATAGACAGCATTAGCATAAACATTAAAGAAAACACGCAAAAATAAAAGGATACTTAAAGAAGTGAATTCCTTCAGAGTGAAGGACTTTAAGGACGGATTTTTCTCGACAGAATTATCTTCATAAAACCAATGTGCGTACTCGACCAGAAATAGAATTCTCTCGAACGATTGTTGGTCTTCTTTGGGCACGTTTAAAACAAACCGACTGCAGAGATCGTCGAGGAGTTCTTGCGGAGGAAGACCGCCGTTCTTAAACGGAGCGCTAATAGATCGATTCAGACCGGACATCGATTTTCTCGAGTCCTGAACCCTAATTTTTTTTAAAGTTGAGTAGAGAAGGAGCTCTTCCAGTAGGTATTTTGGAGAGAGTGGGGGAGGGGGAAAGAGCTGCTTTTTTGAGGGAATTTGGGATCGAGTGAGGAGCTCAACAGCGAATTATCGTATGCCTCTCGAGGAGAGTGTTGATCCTGAGTATTGAGATTTTATAGTGGGCCGCAGGTGATATTTCTGGACCGGAATGAACCGGATACGAATGCCCGATTGCCCATCGTTCCACGTCCAGTATTTAAGTGAGCAATTACATGGCCAAATGGGTTGAGGCTCACATACGTTCCTGTACTGTTGATTTTGTGTTGAATAGTCACTCTATTGTTTTTTGTCTTAATTTCAACCCTATTTGTTTTGTTATTGTTTTTGTTCTGTCTTTCCGTTAGTGAGAGTGAGTGATGGTGTTGAATATCGTTGTTAAGAAGTGAATCACTTTAATACAACAATTCATTGAAATAATTTAACAAATCTAACCATAATGACATGATTTGAAGCACATTTAGTTACATGTAATTTTTCTTAACTTGGATAATAATAATATGAAAGATTGAGTATGGCATGAAGTTGAAAAAAAAAAATACTAACCTTTTTTTTTTTCAATTCCCATCAATCTTTTTCCCTTAGTTCTTCTGGCATATAATATGGATTTGTTTTGTATTTATTTGTACTAAAATTCACTCCCAAACTCACTTTAATTTCAATCAAAATTATGGATATTTGTGTTTTTTCCTTTGCAACGAACCAATGGCTTATCGCATATTTAATTATGATAAAAAAGAGTTATTTAATATGTTTTTTTGTAAAAGATAAATTATTGTATAAGCTTTATATACTTATCCGATACGAATTACTATTTATGATTATTAAAAGGACTACATTATACTGAGAAAAATATTTACAAACAAACTTTTAAGATTAAAATTTTATATAATTTGATGTGTCAAGCAATAAACAATAGCGTATGATTCTCGTAACTAATGAATTTAATTATTCTTGATAAGAATTTTATATATAATTATTTTTATGTAAATTGAAACAACTTCTCTCGTTACTAATTAGGTTTCTGATCAAATAAATAAATACATAAATAAACTCATTCTTTGTCTAAATAGTCTATTAAGAGTAACATGTATCTCCGAAACAAATGCTTGACAAATCTTTAAATTCATAATCTATAAGGGGCATAGTACACACACATATAAACCAAGGGCATGTAGAGTAAATTATAAATTAGTCCCTCTAGTTTTCCAAAAAGAATTAATGATTCTTTTAATTTTAATAACTAATTAATTAGTCCCTATGTTTTTACATCTATCTCTAACTTAATCCTTTTCATTTTTTAAATTCATTTCATTTGTTGTTTTAATAAATAGAAAAGGTAAAAAGAAATAAGTAAGAAAAGGAAATTTTGATGAAAAATAAGATATTTTTAGAACAAAATAATATTGAATCAACTACATCAAGGGACTAAACAATTAAGTTTTGAAACAATAGGAAACATTCGACTTGTTCTTACAAAATTAGAGAGACTAATCTATAGTTTACTCACATCTTGCCAGCAGCTCGCGGCATTAGCCCGTAAAATTTGTTCATGTGTATATACCTAATTACCCACACGGCCAACACCCAAGCAAGAATCATGAACGTGGTGCAGTAACGAGCAGCCCAAGTCCAGTCAGAAGAAAGGCCCAATCCATCCAGCCTTTTCTCTCGAGCTAACAATACTGCTCCAATCAGCTCCCGAAGAAAGCCTGCAATCCTTTCCTTTTACCCGCAACAGTCAAAAACAGAAACAAACTGCCTTCAGATCACCCTGTCTCTCTCCCTCTCACTCGCAACAAAAGGAAACAAACCACACCAGAAAAGTCGTCTCTCAAATTTCTCTCCTCTTCCTCTCTGATGCTATCCTCTCTTTAAATCCAAAAAAAAAAAAAAAAAATGCGAAAACGACTGGAAACTTCTTCCTCATCGAACTCAAAACGACCGGAAGCTTCGTCCTCATTGAACTCAGAACGACCGCCAAATGTGAATAACAGAATTGGCGCAAGCAGTCTGATTTCATCAATAAAATCAACACGGTCAGGATCTGTTTGGCTAGTCTTATCTGCAGTCATAATTTACTCATGCTATTCAGTTCACTATTACCAGTTCGAAAATCTGCCTTTACCGTTAACGGCTGAGCACGCCGGTAAAAGAGGCTTCTCTGAAATCCAAGCACTAAAACACGTCAAAGCTTTGACTGAATTCGGTCCTCATCCTGTTGGTTCTGATTCTCTCGACCTCGCTTTGCAGGTATACGAATTTTATTTACTATTAAATTAATTTAATAGATTTTTTTTTCTAAGCCATGACTGCGTTTTTTTTTTTTTTTTTGCAGTATGTTTTGGAGGAAGTGGGGAAGATAAAGAAAAATGCGTACTATGAAGTGGATGTTGAGGTTGATTTTTTTCATGCGAAAGCCGGAGCGAATCAGATGACTAGTGGATTATTTATGGGGAAAACACTTGTTTATGCCGATCTTAAACATGTTGTTTTAAGAATTTTGCCCAAATTTCTTGCAAATGAAGCTGCGGATAATACTATTCTTGTGTCTTCTCACATTGATACTGTTTTTTCCACGTATGATTTCTATTCTAGCATTACTTTTTATTGATCATTATCTGTTAAGTTTGGTATATGAGACTGGATAGGATTGGATGGAACAATTCTTTTACTGGCATTTGTTGTGCAAACGGGATAGGACAATAATTTTGGTCTTGTTACATGCCTGCAATGTCCCATCTAATCCTGTCCTGTTCCACCTGCGCATGGAACTCGCTACATAGATGCATGTTGTTACTTGTTAATCATTGTGTTTGTGTAGTGAAAAGTTTGTTATTGATGTTTTAGGGGAGGTGCTGGAGATTGCAGTTCATGTGTAGCTGTGATGTTGGAACTTGCTCGAGGGATTTCGCAGTGGGCTCATGGGTTCAAAAATGGTGTGATATTTTTGTTTAACACTGGGGAAGAGGAGGGTTTGAACGGTGCTCATAGCTTCATAACTCAGGTTTGAAGCATCATCAATGTGTTCACTAATTTTCTCTCAATTTTTTTTCCTCGACTTCTTGTAGCTTTAGCCTTTTACAGATTTTGAAAATGTTTGTAAAGATTTTTGTTGTTCTATTTTTATGTCATTCTTGCTGAAATTGGTATCTTGTTTTTTGGTGTGCAAGATTAATCCACAAAATTCCTAATTTCCTCGTAAAATAGAAGTAAATTAGTTTTGTTTTGGATATTCCAAATACATATCTTTCAAGCGTACCGCGGTGTTTTATGTATTCTGAATTATATTTTCCTGATGAAGCATCCATGGAGTAAGACTATTCGTTTGGCTGTTGATTTGGAGGCCATGGGTGTAGGAGGAAAGTCCAGCATATTTCAGGTTTTATTTTCTTTTTTAATTTACTTATTTTTGCATCTATTGCATTGCCATTTATTTAGTCAATCCCTCCTTATTCTCAATTTAATTTTCTTTTTGCTTCTCAGCCTCTGAACCTTTTTCTTCCTAATTTATGGTTCTTCTCGTAACAGGCTGGTCCTCATCCATGGGCAATTACAAACTTTGCATCAGTAGCGAAATACCCATCTGGGCATATCATAGGACAGGTTTGTAGCTTTTATTATCAAAGGTATTTTTCTCTATGTTACTTTTGGGTAGTTGATGTATTTGGGTGGATTTAGTTTTGCAGGATCTTTTTTCATCTGGGGCGATTAAATCTGCCACAGATTTTCAAGTATACCAAGAGGTTGCTGGTCTTTCAGGGCTTGACTTTGCTTTCACAGATAATGGTGCAGTTTATCACACTAAGGTACTTTATTGTCTTGTCCATTTTTTATTAACCATTTTGGAAGGGTGTGTCATGTTCATCTTCTTGATAGAACCCTTCAGCTTGTAATAATAAATGATGGAATTTAATAGAAATATGGTTTCAACAATTGAAGCACATGATGGAATCATATTTCTGTTGTGTTTATTTATTCTAATGAAATAAGTTTCATTATGATCAAAGATAGAGCTTCTAGTCATGACATAATACCACTACAAAAAAACAAAGGATTTGCAAGGGGAAATTAGCGACGGTCTCAAAACCGTCGCTAATTTACCAAAATTGCAACGGTCTGAAGCACTTTAGCGAGAGAAATTAGCAATGGTTTTTTGCAAAAAAACTGTCACTAATTTCAATTTTTTTTAAAAAAAATTTCTACAGCCATTTTTGCGACGGTTTTTGTCAAAAAACCGTCTCTAATTTCAATTTTTTTAAAAAACGTTTCTGCAACCATTTTTTGCGACGGTTTTTGTGAAAAAACTGTTGCTAATCATGAAAATTAGCGACAGTTTTTTGCGATGGTTTTTTCCAAAAAAATCCATCGCTAATTTCATTTTTTTTTAAAAAAAATTTTCGTAACCATTTTTTGCGACGGATTTTGTAAAAAAACCGCGTTAATTTCAATTTTTTTAAAAAAATTTATTTCTTCCAGCCTTTTTTGCGATGGTTTTTTTACAAAAAAACGTCGCAAAATTAGTAAATTAGCGACGATTTAAAAACCATTGCTAATTAAGAAAAAAATGGCTATTTTTTGAACTTTTTCAAACATTTAGCAACGAGTTTAGCGACGGTTTTTAGACCGTCGCTAAAACTTTCAACTCTTAAATAACAATATGCTCGAAAATTTGCAAGAAAAAATTTCTTCTATCTTCTTCTTCTCCAACGCCGATCTCCCTTTCATTTCCATTAAATCTTCCCCCTCTCCTTTTTATTTTCCTTCCAATCTCCTCCTCTCTCTCCTCCTTCCCTTTCTCCTCTCTATCTCTTCCCTTTTCTTCCTCCTTTTCCTCTTTCTTTCTTCCTTTCTCCCCCTTCCTCAACCGGCCATTTTCCAGCCAGAATAGTGCGACGAAACCTCTCCACCTGCGCAGACCATTCTCCTCCTTGTGTTGGTGAAAAGTCCTCCCTCATCTAACCTCTTAATTAATTTTTTAATTTTTTTCAATTATTTACTTAATTGAATTTTATTTTTTTATTAAAATAGCGACGGATTTTGCCGAATTAGCGACGGTCTGGACTATCGCTAATTCTATTTTTTTTTGTAGTGTACTTTGACCAGACCTCACACTTTGACTCTGGTCATCCATGACCTGTAATGTTTTGGATGGCATGACAGATGTTGAAGAAAAGAAATGATTCCACAACCGTGATAGTACCTGACATCACGCCTTTTGGTGCACTGATGGGTAGCATGGTATGCTTTGATGGCAGTGGCCTGAGGAAGCTTCTTTTTGTTGAATGTGCACCATCTTAACTAGCATGTGAAAGATGCATTGAGTGAGGCAGATGGATTACTTATGTTAAGCTGCATGTTATCATAGGATTGCTACAGTTAGACTATCAATATCACTCTTATTGGACCCCTTTGCAGGCATCTTGAACATAGAAATGAATAGAATTGCCATAACAATGTCTCACTTGGCATTGAGAAAAATTATAGGATTTCCATCTAATCATTTAAATTTTTAAAATTTTCCCATGCAGAATGACAAATTAGATCTCTTGAAATCTGGATCTCTTCAGCATCTTGGAGAAAATATGCTTGCTTTTCTGCTTCACATTGGTCCATCCCCTCATCTTCCAAAAGGCAAGGCAATGGACAAAGAGGAAAAAACTGGACAAGACACTGCCATATTTTTTGACATTTTGGTACTTCATAACTTCTGGGACTTTAACCCTTTTCTTGGCTTTGCATTGAGATGGTTATTGAGCACATCTGGCAACCTAAGTTTGAAGTCTGTCACTTTACCTGACATTTGTGTCAATCTCAGGGGACATACATGATCGTATACAGTCAACATTTTGCAAGCATGCTTCATAACTCAGTGATACTGCAATCACTTCTAATTTGGGCGGCATCATTGTTTATGGGTGGTTCTCCAGCTGCCATTTCATTGGGCTTGTCATGCCTGAGTGCTATCCTGATGTGGTTGTTTTCAATAAGTTTCTCTGTTCTCGTGGCCTTGGTTCTTCCCCGAATATCTTCTTCACCAGTACCCTATGTTGCAAACCCATTGCTGGTACTTGGGTTATTTGCTGCACCTGCACTCCTCGGAGCTTTGACAGGTCAACACTTGGGTTATCTTATTCTTAAAAAGTATTTATCAAATGTATACTCCAAGAGAAAGGAGCTGTCATCTGCTATCATAGCTGATTTAATCAAGTTAGAGGCTGAAAGGTGGCTATATAAAGCTGGTGTTGTTCAGTGGCTTGTTCTTCTGATCGTGGGAAACTATTATAAAATCGGATCATCTTACCTGGCACTCTTTTGGCTTATTCCACCAGCATTTGCATGTAAGTTATGTTTGCAGCTTTCTATCCTCAATAAGAAATGACACAAGGTCTCAAACAGGATAGTGAGGAAAAATATTTATCTGTAATGAACAACTTACAGCGAAGTGGAAGCATATTTTACTGTAGCATGATAGCAAATCTCATAAATTGCTATTTTCATGGTGTTTTCTTTAAACTATTTCCGGCATTGGAACATTCAGATGGTTTGCTTGAAGCAACTCTGACACCAGCTCGGTTGCCTAGGCCACTCAAACTTGCAACCCTCCTGATGGGCTTGGCAGTACCAGTTGTGATTTCTGCTGGAAGTTTCATTCGTTTGACTGGAACAGTAATTGGAATTATGGTTCGATTTGATAGGTAAAGTTTTATAATGTTTTGATCATGCTACTTTCTAGAAAGCTATCGTTTGAGTTCAACTTTTCCTTTCCTTCTAAACAAAGTATGGCCTTATTGGTGGTGTAACATGCTAGTTTCAATACAGCACATGCTGAATAGCAGTATTTAGCATCTATGGCTCTCCATTTAACTGTGTAATTACAAAGCTACACTAGATCAACTAGATATTTTGGAAATTGATGTTGCTTTGTAATTTTGTGCAGGAACCCTGGTGGCACTCCGGAGTGGCTGGGGAATGTAATGATTTCCACTTTCATTGCTGTTATCATATGCCTGACTTTTGTTTACATCCTTTCATATGTTCATCTTTCAGGTTCGCACTCAGTGTGATTTCTTTATTTGGTTGCACATAATATAGATATTTGTGTTTGATAATGGCTTTTGTATTGGTTGTTGTTTGATGCTGAGCCCTTATTGTGTAAATCAGTAATAATTGGTTGTGCGAAAATGATGTTTTATGTGAATCTGGGCTAGATCCAAATAATCAATGATCTACATCTGTTTCAGTTCTCAAATGGCCAGTTTACCTATGTAGACGTAGTAGAACAAAAAATAATTATCATAGTGTGGTTTTATTGCTACTATAATAAATCTGATTATGTTATTAATTGACCTGCATATGTGTTATCTATGAAATCTTAGCTGACTCATAATTTATAAAGGCTTTAATGAGTATTTAGTTATCAATTTCAGTGTAGTCATTGAAAGCATACACTAGATTTATTAAAGTTTATATTAGTGGTAATCAATTATAGTTACTCCTCTTTCTTGTGCTGTTGGTGTAGGTGCGAAAACGTCAATCATCCTTGCACTCAGTGTCTTGTTTGGCCTCTCACTTATTTTAGTATTATCTGGTACCATTCCACCATTTACAGAAGACACTGCCAGAGCTGTAAATGTAAGTATCCATTTCTAAATTGACTATCGTTGTTGTCATTGGTCTGTGTTCTTTAAAATTCCTTGAATGATTCTTGAATGGTGCATTATGATTAGCTAGTAATGCTCAGATTTCCCCATTTGTATCCCCATACTGCCTTGGGTAATCAGACGGAAACCACCATGGAATATTTTGTGTACCTCTTACATCACCAGATCAAATCTAAGAAACATCAAATATGGATGAGTTTAGAAATGCCATGATGTTTGAAAGTTGCGCTATAATGGACATTGAGACCACGTTAAGTTATGTTGTTTCAACAAATAGTCAACTGGCTGTACTTCAAACGGTACATAGGCAACTGTAATATGATATATCTGATGTGGGTATTCATCATGTAAAATATTTTAAGTCTATTGAATTTTCAGTGAAGTCCTGGCTTTGCCACTATTTGTCATGCATTCTCTTGAGTGCCCTTGGTTTGCAATGTCTTCAAAAAGCACAATTACTTTGTTCTGTGGCGTGCCCTACTGGATCAATAAATTCATATTTCACACTTAATAGCTGTTACATGTAATTTATGATGATTCCACATACGCACAGGTTGTGCATGTTGTTGATGCATCAGGAAGATATGGTGAAAAGCAAGATCATAGCTCTTATATATCTCTATTTTCTGCCACCCATGGAAAGCTAGAGAAGGAGATTGAACAGATTAAAGAAGGATTCACATGCGGTAGAGACAAGGTTATTGATTTTGTCACTTTTTCAGTCAACTATGGTTGTTGGACCCATGATGATACAGAAGGTGGATGGAGCGAGTCCGATATTCCCACTTTGCATGTCGACAGCGATAGCAAGGGGGTGAAAGAATCACACGAGTTTCAATTGATACAAAATCCTCCATGCGCTGGTCTCTTGCAATCAATACCAAGGAAATAGGAGATTTCATTTTGAAAGGTACGTTGAGGTTTCTCTGATGTGCATCCTCTCTTTTTTGTGGTTTGAGTACTTTGCTTGGAATGCTAGTACCTTTGAACGTCATCCTCGCTCTCTCACCTACCCCAACATTTTTTTACCATGGAATGCAGGAAACTCAGAAGAATTAATTCCATCTGGCAACAAGAGCAGTGTGGATGGATGGCATCACATTCAGTTCTCAGGAGGGAAAGAGTCACCAAGGAAGTTTGAGCTAGTTCTTTTCTGGTTGGAAAAAACTACGCACTCTCCAGACAATTTGGAGAGAACGATACAGGACCAGCGTCCCCTGTTGAAGTTAAGAACAGATGCTGACAGATTAACACCAAAAGCTGAGAGAGTTATTGAAAAGCTCCCTACATGGTGCTCCCCGTTTGGAAAATCGACATCTCCCCTCACTTTAGCTTTCTTGAGCAGTCTTCCCGTTAGTTTCTAGGTAACCGAGTTACCCTCCCAAGAAACGCAAGAACCGGGCCCGCTAATTTATCAAAACTCTGTCAGATTTTCCCATTTCTTGAATCTTGTACACATAAATAGTCGAGGAATGTTTTGTTCTTTTAGAAAGAAGATTTAATAACATCTGTGTAATGTAAATGAAGTATGTAGAGATTGGAAAGATCAAAAACGTTTTGCATGGTTTTTTTCCCCTCTCCAGGTAGTTCGTTTTGAATGGAAATCTTATGATGAGTATAATTAGAAGAAAAAATTATTTAATACTCCACTTTATGTATACTTACCTTCTCATGATATCAAGCATTTAGGAGACAATAACAAGACTTTGAATTACAAGCCTTGATAGGTTTAATTCAAGAACCAATGCAAGAAAAATTCCCGAAGTAAGCTAAATGCTCAAAATGTGAAATTTCTAGTTGGAAGTTCAGACTCAAAATTTTAAAAGGACATTTGGGATTTGTCTATTGATTCAGTAGTCATTTTAAGAATTAATCATTATTGATGCTGAAAGTTTGGGATTTCTACTTGGAGGTTTTAAGTTCAAATTTTGAAAACGGAAATAGCCATCCGTCATGAACTTTAACTACTGTTACTCATGTTGATGAATTTAATGAGAATATAAGAAATACAATGTGATTTTTCATATTTTTAAGGTATTGGTTCATGTGATAATTGGTTAATTTATTTGTTATTATTTCAGATTTGACACTAGAAAATGCTGTAAAAATATTTTTTGGAAATGTATTTTGTATGAATATTTTTGTCTAAAAACACCACTTTAATTTCGAGGAAGACTGGTTTACAGGTATTTTGGTTGCAAATAAATAAATAAATAAAATAAAAAGAGAGTAGGACAATGATTTTTGTACGACTTGGTAACACGTGCGAATAAAATCTACATAGCCACAAAGTGTAGAGAGAAACAAGACACGTGTATTACATTACGTTAGTTAACTCGACATTCCTTAACAGTGCTTTTACTAAATCAAAACAAAAACCAGAAAGAATCTCCATTTCCAGAGAAAGAGGGAGTGGGAGAGAGACTCTCTCCAGTTTCCACAAGAAATGCGGTCCATACCGTTGGGATTCTCAGCATCTCCAACATCCATAAACAACAACCTTAAAGTCAATTTCAAGAAACAACATCAACATCAATCTTTTTTTAGTCCTTCTACAACGGTTTCTCATCGTCAATTCTCTCTCTCTTCTTTCTCCAAATCAGGTACCTACTTCAAAATTTATCTTACCCTTTTGAGCTTTTTTCATCCATGTCTTGCTTGATTTGAAGTTACTGTAGATTATCTTTAGTGGGTTTTCTTTCTTTTTTCTTCTTTGTATGTATGCTTTACTGTGTTGTTGTTTCAACAGTTGACTAGTAGTCAAAATATTGTTGACAAACTGAATTGTTATGATTTCTGAGCTGTTCTTAAGTTTACATGATTTTGATTTTTGATGATTGGACTTGGCTTTGACTTTAAAAGGATTTTGATCTATCTTTAAAAGAACCATATCTTACATAGTTTGGTGTAGAAATTGCACGAATTTGGATCATCCGAGTAGGCATCCTCTTCCTAGCTATGTAAATGGTACAAAATATCAGAATGGATAGAAACGGTGGGTAATTATGTTGCATTGCTTAGGCTTCCTAAGATGTTGTTACAACTGATGGTGTTAGCTGATTTAGCTAGTAAAGTCACTTGGCATGATAACAAACTATCTGGGGGATTGAATCCTGCTCTTATAAGCAAGGGTAGGCTACCCTCCATTTGGTAGCAAATGGCTCGTTGGGCTTCCCTGTGAATAAAAAATAAAATTATAACTTTATGAAAACAAGTCGCCTTCCTTTTGGGCTAGTGAGACTGTACTTGTCGAAAAGTCATTGAATATGGTTGTCTTTTATCTTCCATTTTCATTTGCTTACGTAGAATCTGTTTCCTAAGGTTCATTTCGATGATTCTGGTCATTGAGTGTAGGACTATGCAAAGCGAGTCAAGTGGTTGAATTATTCCCTACTGTATCTCCGGAGATAGTTGTAAGGGAAGCAAGGATAGAGGATTGCTGGGAAGTGGCTGAGACACACTGCAGTTCCTTCTTTCCTGATTATTCCTTCCCTCTAGATTTTGTGCTGCGAGTTGACAGGTTGGTAGCGATGCTATCAGGATTTACTATACCAAATGGCTGCAGAAGGACCTGTCTGGTCGCCGTCATTGGTAGCTCAGTTGATCAAACTTTCTATATTGGAAGTGAAGATTTCAAAATTGGAGGTTTTGATGGGAAGTTTAGCCTCAATCGAGGCTATGTTGCTGGGATATTGACTGTGGACACTGTTGCTGATTTTCTTCCAAGGAAAGGCCCACTCAGGCAGAGAAGGTGAGCTTGGTTGTGCTCTTATGACAATTAGGTCTTTGTGATTGTGTAAACCTTGTGTTGCAATCTAGCATGCAAGCAGTTTTGAGTAGATCTAAACAAACTCTTTTAGTGAGCCACTAAACAAGCACAATGCTTTTGTTGTTCTTGCTATCCAAAGAGAATTAACTGCTGAAACTTTGTTACTTTTTATCATCTATATGTTGGATGGACTGCATGTGGGGGAAGTACTTTTTGGACAACCTTTGCCGACTAATCCATATTGATTGTCGAAACAAGAAATAATGAGGAAGGACAATCTTTACACAATTCCCTGATAAACGAAGAAGTAAATGTTTAGATTTTGAACGTTCTTTTATTTTATATGTGCAGTTAATTCTTTTACCTGTTTCTTTTGCCTACAATGTGCAGTTGCATTATTCAACTAGTTTCTGAAATTTTATTCCTAGAAGTGTGATATGTATGTTTCTGCCAACAGGACTGGAATTGCATATATATCAAACGTTGCCGTGCGGGAGAGATTTCGTCGGAAGGGGATAGGTAAAAGGCTCGTAGCAAAGGCAGAGGCTCAAGCTAGGAGCTGGGGCTGCCGTTCCATTGCTTTGCATTGTGATCTGAGTAACCCTGGAGCTACAAAACTGTATAAAGGGCAGGGTTTCAAGAGTATCAGAGTACCAGAAGGTGCAAACTGGCCCCAGCCTAAGACCTCTCCAGATGTCAAATTTAACTTCATGATGAAGCTGCTAAACACCCCAATCACCACATAGAATTTTTAGGAGCACACGAAGAATTGATAAGGTAAAATATTTTAGGAAAAATTGTAAGTAGGATGATAAAATTGCCTCGTATAATCTTGTATATGCGTTAGATCATCAAGGGATTACCACGGATCTCATAGCACTCACTGTAATTTGTGATGCCTGTAATGCGTACCATGTGCCTGTTTGTGTGATAGATAGCATTATCGTAAAGCTCCTAGGATTTTAGATAACACTAGTATGGTACCCATATGTCACGGCGGATAAGTTTATATAATAGATTTTAATGTTTTAAATAATTAAAAAATTTAGGCGTGAAATAAAAATTAATTAACACTAATTGTGAAAATTTATTTAATATATACACACACCCACTATAATTGAGTTCAAATATAACTTTGGAAAATTTTTTATTTTGATCAATAAAAAGAATACATTCAATTAATTATTTTTTTTAAAAAAAAAATCAAATTAAAAGGAAGTGCTAAATTAATTTATATCAGGAGTGTTTACTTGCAGATAATGAGCCTCTAAAAAAATAAAAAATAATTATTAATTATGAAAAGAGAATTTATTTTGAATAAATAATGAAAAAAAAGAGACTGGGCTGGGTTAACGCCTGCCTTTTTTGTATTGGTCTGGACACAACCAGGCTTATGCATCTGATCTGGAAGTACAGCCCAACCATCAAAAAACACCGGAACTTCGTTATAATAAAACATTAAAATTAAAAATTGTTTTGTATAAAATTATAACTCAAAGGACCGAACTATAAAATATTCAAAAAAATCAAAGGCATAACACGACGCCGTTCTAGTTATGTATGATACAATAACGCAAAGATTTCACTTGACACTACTGTATGATCTTTCAAATCAATAAAATACCATACCAACCTTCTCTAGGAGCTGTCAAAACTATCCAGAAAACAAACATTATATGATACCATCCAATTGACAAAGAAAAAATGGAGAGAGAGACCCCTGTTCCTCTTGATGCACGAGGTAGTACCAATAGCAGCCGACCAACAGACACACAATCGAGGATAAGCAGAACTCGAATAGCACGATTAACCAAAATTGCTATTTATTATTATCCACAAGTTTAAACTTTAAACTATGTAATTAGTGTCTCTACAGATTTAAACTTGGATACTTTTTGTCTTTACACAACAACCACAGCTTGGCATTTGGATATCCAAAGCACCCTGGCTTTACTGCCAATAAGCCAAAGCCACACTAAAGGGATGTCAACTTCAACAAACAGGATTGTACATGGAAACTGAAAGGGCGGCAATTCAAAACTCATGATGATTGGACAAATTTATCCAAGGCAGACGTATCCAAAGCATGGAACTCATTGACAGCAGAAGCAACAGCAAGTCCAAGTTTCACAGCATTTTCATGGCTAGATGCCTGAAGACGCAATTACTTTTAGTTGTTGCTATTATATATTGAGATAATAGTAGCAGTTCATGCAGAAACTGAAAGCAACTTTTATACCTCGATGTTGAGGGGAAGAACAGGATCATGAAGTGAGAGTCTAAGAAGGAACCACCCACCAAAACCAGAAACTCGAACCTGTTTCGCATAAGAAAGAAGGGAATAAGGATGGGAGAAAATTTATTGCGATGCCCTGAGAGCATGGCAATTCCCGTCAAACCACTGCAGTACAGGTATTAATGCATCCTACATAATATTGATCAGCATCAAACTCACCCCTTCATAATTAACAGGAGCTTTCTGAAGCTTTGTATCTGACTTTACATGGTTCTCCAAATGTTTCAGCACTGCCTCTCCATATTCTCGGAAAGATCTGGAGGCTCTAAGTGATCAGTTACACTACAGCAAAATAATATAGAAATGTGACAGACCAGACAGAGAACCGTACCCTCCTTTAAGATCTGGATGATTCTGATCAATTTTCAGTCTCAATTCCACAGCAACTTCTGGTTCCTGCAGACCCTCTACCAGATCAGTCAAAACTTTGCTGCCCCCAGCATTACCAGAAGCTCTGGCTGAAGCCAGTTTATTTAAAACTTTAACCTGCATGTATACGCAGAAAATGAGAAGGAAGAAAGTTAGCACTAAACTGATGATACAATAAGCTAAAAAAGCTTGACCCTTGCTCCGTTTCATATAAAGCCTACCATGAGGTATGCTCCATCATCAAGCCAGTGGTTTTCCTTGAGAGCTCCATGGCCACTGGTTTCAATAGCCAGATGTGATTCCTCACCAACAGAGTTCTGCAAGCAATGTCATCACTTTTGTATGAGAATTCATAAAGCAAGAGCTAGAGAAAAGAAGATCATCCAAACTGAGATATAATAGCACCAAGGCCCTCTAATACCAAAAGATAGAACAAGAAATGCTTGGTGTTTAAAACTCAAAATTAAAAAGTGATTAAAACTAAATTCAGAAACTCTATTTTTTTTTAAAAAAAAAAAAAGATGCTAAATTAAAAAAATCAACAAGGAAAAAGCCATTAAAACTCTAAATTACAGACAACAAGATCCTCGACCTGTTCAAGGCAATGTGATAGGGACTGTATGCAACAGATGATGAAGACCTAAAAATGATTTTAGCATTTCACACAAAAGCAAAACGAAAACCGCCGAACAAATTCAGTCACATTGCATATAAGGTTTATCATTCAATGACAATTTCCTCCTAGGCAACTTTCATAATGATTTGCATCCAACCTTCAGAAATACCAAAATAAAATCCCATTTGGTTAGAAATTTCATCCAGCCAGCATTATTAACATTACTAGTCCAAGAATCTACTCCAACCCAGTGCACAAGGATCAAGCTTGAATGTCCAAAATTTCCCTATTTGGTTTCTTGCTTAAGTAAACTGTCCCAAAATCTGGCAAGTAAAAGATGATTTGGAATCTCAACTTACCAAACGAACAGCCTCATCGATAACATTTTTATAGCCTCTTTTGAATCGATGGTGCTTCCCCCTAAAAAAGACTGGCACGTTATAAGCACATTCAAATACAGCGAATAAACAATGTGCCATTATGGTTTTCTGCATACCAAGTTTCTTTTCAATAAATGTAGTAAGGCCATCGGAAGTCACACTGTCTGTAACAATAGTTGTCCCTGGATGCTAGATGGAAAACAGAATGGGCCAAATTGGTAATGAATTTATTTAAGGGGAAAAAAGCAGTAGATACAAGTCATGCATTAAAACAGTGGCACTTGAGACAACTGAAGTATGAAGATCTTACTTCCTCTAGAACAATGGCAGACATCAAGGCAATCAGACGATTCCGGTTGAACTCACGACCAGTGGAATCCACAGCAGCAGATCTACAGGAAATGATTATGCATTAAAAAGAACTGATAACGAATGTGCTATATGATTGGACAGATTGGGATAATGAAAACCTGTCAACATCAGTATCAAATATGATCCCCAAGTCCGCCTTGTTCTGAAGGACTGCCTGGGTGATAGCCTTCATTGCTGTCTTGTCCTCTGGATTGGGAATATGATTTGGAAACAAACCTATTTTGAAGACCAACTTTAGCATATAAAGAATTCATATATCAAAAGCCACAACAAATTTCTGACATCAACATTACCATCTGGTTCCAAGAACTGGCTACCAGAAGTGATAGCTCCCAGAGGCTGAAGAACTTGTTCCTGGAAATCCATTTGAAACAGTAACATATTTGAAGACAAGGAGATGAAACGGTCGAATAATAGAAATGGAAGGAAGTTATTTAGCAAAATAACTGCAGATATGTTGTGGAATGTGTCGCTACAGTCTAGGCAGCGAAAATTTAAGACACTTGGTTAAGTGCTGGTGGAGGCAGTGGTGTTCTGAAAGTTTATTATTGGGAAGCATTATATGGAAATCAAGTATAATTTTGCTACAAACTAGTACAGTACAGAGTTTTATATAAAGAAAAGAAAGCCAAACGAATCACAATATGACTTACAGCAAAAAATCCTCCTGCTCCATTTCCAGCATCAACAACAATATGGAATCCCTCCAATGGCTTCTCTAAAAGTTTTAACAATTTCCAACCAACAATTAGCAAATGGGATCACACCAACTTACCAGACGAAAAATAAATAAAACAACCACTAGTAAAACTGAAGTAAAAATCTCATGTAAAACATCTCCAAAAAAATGAAAAATATTTTTTAAAAACAAAAGACTCCTAGGGATCAACCCAGAGGTTAAACTTAGGATTTTTAGTCTTAGGTTCGAATCCAAAAATGAGTGGGTGGCGTTTAGAACAAGCAACAGGACTACTACCTATTGTGTGGACCAAGGTGCAGTGGGTCTCCTAATGAAGAAAAAACAAAATATTTGATGGACTATGACCGTAGCATACCATTCACCTATTCATGTTTCATACCATGGGTCACAGAATATAATCCCTGAATACCATTTATTATGACAACTGTTTTGGAACATTTACGGATTTACCTCTATTTCCTGCAGCGTTGCGGACTGCCTTCACAAGACCAGATGTATACACGGTCATGTAATCAACTTGTTTTATGGATTCAGAAGCTTGTCTTTTTGACTTCAGGAAACCTTCATCTGTAAAGCTATTATATATGTCCCCAGCGCGCTCTAAAATGTTTTTAATGTCAGCTTTCCCAAGCCCTCCAGCATTTGTGAAGAATTTGAGCCCATTTCTGTTGTAAGGAAGATGACTAGCTATTTGACAATAACATCAACCAAAAATTTGATCAGATGAAAGCTAGATAGAAAGTCTACTAACATGATCTAAAAGCAAGGTTTACACAAAAGTTCAAGCAACAAAGGCAACAACCATTATGAGGCACCATTTCCAAATCCCACAAGTATAGTAGGCCAATGTAATCTAACAGAAAATCAGCCAGTTACCTGTTATCATTATAGCCCCATCAACTGGACATAAAAATGCCTCATCTTCGGTTAGTGTGCTATTAAACATTGCAGGGGTGGATGCCAATCTGCAAAGGGTAAGATGCTACAAAAGTTACGAACAGATCATGAAGGAACATGGTTAAACCATGTCTTAGTCACTGACCCACTGATCTCATGAGGTCAATGGATCATACATTCAATCAGTGGAAAGTACACATCATAGTAAAAATAATCATTTTCAACTTGTATAGAGACCCACAATTTATGCCAAGATCCATCACAATCTTCCCAGAGGAGAAAATTGTCATATAAGTTTGTCTTCCCTGAAAAGGTTATCAAAGATCCAGCCAAAGAGAGAACACTTCAACCATGAAATTTTAATGGCCACAAGCTGGAGATTTTTGGCTCAATAACATTGAGCTTGAATCTAAAAGATGGGCATGACCAGTAAGATGAATTCAATTGTTAGAAAATCAAACCAAGATGGGGAATCGTAAACCCACCCATACTGAACAACATCCAGGCCTGCGCCAGCAATACCTCGAGAAACAGCATCCTGGAAGTTAAACCATTAAATTTCAGTTATTTATGATATTAATAGATGAGCAAATTCCATGACATAATAGCTCTAACCCTGCACAGTAGATGTGTTGAGAGTAGCATTCTTTCCAAATGATTATATTCGTTGCTGTTTGAATGACATTTTTTATCACACTGTTAAAGTTAGTTACGACAACTTTCCACAGAAAAGAGAGAGAAAGAGAGTTAACAGTAAAAAGTGTAAAACAACTAAACATCAACTGCCTAGCCAAAACAAAGTAACTAATGGATTCAATCAGAAGAAAACGTGGTCCTCTTTGTTGGACCATCAATTACCTAGCAGTTTATGGCCCAGGGGGCAAACTAATACAAGCATGTTTCATGAATTCCAATGGCACAAGCATTATATGAGCTTGAAAAATACCCACAGGACAGTTGACTGATCAGAAAGGAGGGGGAAAAAAGACTTAAAAGTTGTTCGCAGATGGTTTCAAATAGCCAGAAGATTTATGTACAATAGGTAAAAGAATAACTACCTGCAACACCTGTGCAGATATGCGGGAATCATGACCAACAGACACCTTCAAAGGTTTGGATGCATCAGCTTTTTTCTTTTCCGATAACCACGCAGAAAAGGCTGCTGCTATTGCTTCAGTAACTGGTTCAGTGAGGGTAACCGGTTCTCCCTCGACACCAGCAACAGCCACACCTCGAATATCACTATGTTCCCATTTGGGGATAAAAAAAAAAAAACACAAGCTCCAAGTTAGACCACTTTCAATTAACACTAACATTAGTTTAGTTCCAAGCATAAATCAGTGGTAATTTTATTGTTAGGAAATACTCTTCACAGCACCATAGAAAACAGTCTCTCCACCAAAAAAAAAAAAGCAAACTTTGGGAAACCTAATTCAAGAATATTAATTAGTGCATTAACACCTAATATGAAAGCTCCTGTTCTTTTATAGCTGAGAAAGTCTTGCTATGCATGAGTTGACGCGGGTAAGAAAAACAAAGTTGCATTTATTATTTTCGATCCTTCTTCGATTTTCCATTGATAAGGTCCGGACATCCAAAAATAAAGGACAATGCTTTTGAAATTCAGACAGTAAATAAATAATTTCATACAAAAAATTTCTGGATTATACTTATAACCACAAAAATTCCCCACCTGCCATTTTGAAGCTTCATAAAATCAACCTTGTCAAGATATGGCTCCGCAGTCGTAGATAGAGCAGCTGCAACAAAATTCAAAGGCAGAGAGAACATGTAAAATTCTACCAAAATTAGGATCCTTACTCCTTAGTGCAACCAAATCTATGTTCATCGCAAACAGAAAAACAAAAGCATACTAATACATAGAACACAAGCAAATGAGTATTTTGAAATGCAATCATCAAATGAGAGTCTAGAACAGAACAGAACAGACCATTGCAATAAACAGTTGGTCGGTTAACAAAAGCAGTCTGGTATTTTGGTAAATGCATGGAAGATATGCCACTCCTCCATGCCAATAACTTTTTCCCTCCATGAAAGGGAAGCAAGTTGCGGTGGCTATAAGGGGCCGCCGCAGAACAACAGTCCCTTTGGTAGTAGTATTCATTGGTCCTCAACTGCCTATTCTTTGCTACAATTACATTTTCAACAATCTTCCCAGACATTGCTGCACGCACCACAACAACAATTCCAAAAAATTTAAAACAAAATTAAATTAAACATCCATAAATTGCTATAATAATCATTAAATTGGTAAGAATAAAAAATCAAACTACACAGAAAATAGGAAAATCGAAGATTGGTCACTGTACTGATAGAGTCAAAAGTAGGTTCTAGGATTCGATTCTATTTCTGTAATTACTTGAATTCGATTACTGCGAGAGGAATGAGAAGTGGAATTCAATCCTACGTACCTGCCATTTTTTATTTTTTTATATGGTTACAGACGGCGATGCCGACTTTGGCTGTTGAGAGAGAGAGAGAGAGAGGGGGGGGGGGGGGGATGAGTGGACGGGACGGAGAAATTGATGAAAACGGAACGTTACAGAAAGGTTTGGCGCTATGGGTTTTTTATATCCCGCGGATGCTCCGAGACGAGCTTTGACACGTTGGTTGTGTAGGTGTTATGTTACCAGCGATGTCACGTGCTCATCCTCTGGTTTTAGAATATTTGGGGTTATCCTCTCTAAAGAAAAAAATACAAATCTGAAGACCTGAAAGTTGTCTTTATTCTCCCAAAAATAAAAGTTCAGACACCGATTCAATTCTCCTGAAAAAATGAGTGGTCTTAAACCCATTTAGATTTTAGCCAAGAAAAATAAAGACGCGAATTCGTATCCTGGGCCTCTTAGAAAACTCTCAACAACGTCTAAAGTGACGCGGCTCAAGATACGGCCCAATTGTGATTTAGGCAAGAACAGGAGCAATTAAATAAAAAGACCAAACAAAATCATCAGATTGGTAAATTAATAAAATAAAAAGACCAAACAAAATCATCAAATTGGTAAATTTCCAAACATAATCTGGCAATTATATTAATGTTGTTTACCTAAAAAGATGTCATCCCAAAGACAATAACGCAAATAAATTTTGAAAGCAAAAACTTCAGGGACGGGCAAGGAAAGATGTCCAAAAGAACAAACTAAGTTGTAAATGAGAACTGGATCGATAGTAATGCGCTCTAAGCACTCTGCCTTTTAGCCATGAGAGCAGCTGTCCCTTTGCTACGACCGGTCTGCCTTGCAGCAATTTGACCAACCTTTTGGCCGGGAACCTTGTGACGACCAACAGTACTAGCATGCCCGATATGTTGGTGATTACCACCACCATGAGGATGATCCACAGGATTCATTGCAACACCGCGAACCCTAGGCCAGCAGTTCCTCTTGACTCTATATTTGTGATATGCATTTCCTGCCTTCAACATTGGCTTCTCAGTCCTGCCTCCACCTGCAACTTGACCAATCATTGCGCGGCACCCCTCTGGCAAAACCTTCTTAGCTCCAGAAGGTAGCTTGATCCTAGAAATTAAGAACACCAGCCTCAAATATTAGTCATATTAGTGAAACGTTTTGTTTCCCTACATTAGTTTCCAAATAATTTTACAAAAAAGCAAATCAACAAGCTACGAATTTTCAATGAGCAAACCAATACTTACAATATATATACACACACAAACACAGACGCTTGGACATAATTAATGTTTTCAATGTTTCATGTGTGAAAGAAAATAACGAAGTACTTGAACTAGTTAAAACTAATAAAAAACTTTTAAAAGGACAACGAAAACGAAATATTCACCTTGTGGTTCCATCATCAGGATTATGGCCAATAACAACACAATAATCACCAGAAGCTCTAGCCAACACTCCTCTATCACCAACTTTATGTTCCACATTGCACACAACAGATCCTTCAGGTACTGATCTTAAAGGCAAAACGTTACCAACCATCAGATTTGCTTTTTTTCCACAGTACACAAACTGGCCCGAGTACATTCCTTCGGCCGCAAGGAAAAGTTCCTTTTGAAGCTTATAGCGAAAAGTGTGTCTAAACGTTACCCTTGCAAGAGGCGCACCGCGACCGTGGTCATGGATTATGTCAGTCACCACTCCTTTGAGGTAACCGTTTCTCTCCCCAAAATCAAGAGAGCGAAAGCGAGCAGGGCCTTTGCGGTGGTGGGTGTGGGACTTGAAGACAGAGCCAGCACCCTTCCGTTGAGCTCGGATTACACGACCCATGCTTGTTGGGGTATTGGAGAAGGAAGAAACGTAGGAAGAAAAGGATGGTTTGCCTTGGAATTTATGCGTTTGCCTAGGGTTTTGGAATGATATCAGTACAACCAAAGGCTGGTGTAGAGAAGCACCAGGTTAGACGCAGGAGTCGTGCGTCAAATAGTAGCCCAATTATGAGCGTCACTTCAAGTAGCCCAATAAAAAAGGCGAAGGGTTAGGCAGGTAGCATGGCCCTCCTTCTTATCTGATAACACCAATTAGAACATGACATGGCAACCACGAATAGTAGAAGTTTTACACTTTTAATAAAAAAATTTAAGATTTAAGTCTCATCTTTTCATATTTATTGGTAGCCATAAAAAAGAATTGGATTTATTTTTCCGATTTTAAGAATGCGAAGGGCTTAAAACCTCATATTTAATATCAATTCGTATTTATTGAAATTAATTGAAAATATTCTAAATAAAAAAAATAACAGAATATGGTACTTTTCCTTAGACTTAATTTGTTTGCAGCAATTTATTATGACAATAATTAATTATGTTCCATTGATAAGAATTTATTATAACAATAATAAAAGTTAAGACGGCAGTTTAGTTTGAATATTCTTAGAATTTGCAGAAAACAACAAATACAAGAATGATATTTTCTTTTAAATTTTATATTGCTACGCAAAAACAAAATCTCTAAATTCTTAGTGATCGCTTTCCTGTTTAAGATATGATAATCCGTAAAAAATTTTAGTTGTTCCGTGATTAATTAAAAACATAGTAGTACTTAAGTGCAAATATTGAAATAATTTACCTAATTTATTTACTTCGATGATAGATAAAAAATTCTAGCATAGCCTCTAGGTCTGTTCCTATTTCTTTCGAGGGTAAATTATAATAATCCTTGTGAGATATGGTGAAATTACACGGACCACCAAGAAGGTTGAAATTTTAATACAAATTTTATATTTTTAAGAAAATATTAAAAGCATCTTTTTTGTCCTCCATCGCATTCCTTTTTATCAAATGACAAAAAATCTTCCTAAATATTTTTGACATTTTTTTCCAAAGTTTCATTTTTTTTTCCTGAAAATTAAAACCCGAATATAAATCCTTAAGATACCGTTTGATAATCGGGAATAGAGTGATGAGAATGTGGATGCGTAAATCAAAATGAAAATTAAGGAATCATAATGGTATTTCTATTTTCAAACTCGTATTTAGAATACTAATGAAGAATCGAAATGCAATTTAATTTTTTTAATATCCGATTTTTTATATAAATAAAAATAATTATTAAAAAAATTATTAAACTATAATGATTGTAAAAATAATAAAGGTGATAATAGTAATTGTAGTTATAACAATGATGGTTCTAACGATGACGATAGTGATTGCAATAGCGAGGATGATGGTGGTAGTTATCGTTGTGATGGTAAAGGTGGTGGTGGCTATGGTGGTAGTGGTTGTGATGATGGTGATAATGATGACAATATTGATTGCGTTAGTGGTGATGATTGTGATGGTAGTGGTAAAAATAGTTAATAGATAATAAATAAATAAAATATATTATTATTTTGAAAAAAAATCATTACCATTTCTTATTTTTATTTCCGCATTTTATATGAGAACGAAGTTGTGTATAAATTTTTGTTCTCGTTCTCACTTCATTCCTTTTAACCAAAGAGTTATAATGTGAGAATAAAACTTTTATTCTTATTCACACAACTCTATTTCGATTATCAAACAACGACTTAAAAACTTTATTAATGTTTGTGAACTCCTTTTCTTCTTGATTTTTCTTTCTTTTTCTCCCATTTTCATACTTGTTTTATTTACCAAATATTAAAACTTGTACATAAAATTTCAAAAACGTCATTGATGTTTTATATATATATATACACACACAAATGACATAAGAGATTCATCTCGCTTGTGATTTTTTTTTCCAAGTGACATAACATGATTAATTAAAACGTACGAGTCTATTGCGATGTTTTGATATGTTATAATCATTATTCTTTCTGAAAAATACATTAATTTTACTATTATATTATATATTGATGGATTGATATTATGGCTGTCTAAGAAAAGTTAAATGGCCGTTCCAAGATTCCACATTCAAACCCCACAATAAAGGCCAACTAAAAGACCTAGCAAACGATTACAGAGTAAAATATAAATTAGTCCATCTGGCTTTGAGAAAAAATTAATTAGTCTCTTTGGTTTCAAAAATTAATTACTCGATACTTTTTATTATTTTTCAATTTATTTTATTTTTTTATTTCAAGAAATAGAAAAAGGCATAAAAACTAAGTAAAAATTTAGAAAGATTTATGAAAAAATAATATATTTTATAAAATAAAAAAATATTAAATTAGTCATAGTAAGCATTGGTTAAAAAGTTAAATAATTAATTTTTACAATTAGAGAGACTAATTAATTATTTTCTCAAAACAAGAAGGACTAATTTATAATTTACTCAACAATTACACAAAGCACTCACCAGCCCGACCCGATAATTAAAAAGCGGTTATAAAATCATAATAAACGACGTCAACGCGGAAATAGGCCCTAGGCGGCTAATGAAATTTCTGATAAATACAAAGCTACACACGCCGATTATACCCTGCCATTCAATTTCTCTGTCCTACCACGCAAGTTGGAAAAGAAAAATACCTCTCTAGGTTTAGGGTTTGGTAATTGATTTATTGCAAGATGCTGGAGGTGGTGTTGAACGACCGGTTGGGGAAGAAAGTGAGAGTGAAGTGCAACGAAGACGACACCATCGGCGATCTCAAGAAGCTGGTGGCGGCACAGACCGGTACCCGAGCTGAGAAGATCCGGATCCAGAAGTGGTACAATATTTACAAAGACCATATCACTCTCAAGGATTACGAGATTCATGATGGCATGGGCCTCGAGCTCTACTACAACTAAAGCAAGCATGTAATTTAGTTTTCTCTTTCTTCTTTTACAAATTTCTGCTGTTTCTAGGGTTTTGATGTTGACTTTGTTACGTGGAATTCTCTTATGATTCTGTGCTGTGGTTGAATTTTAATTAAATTGACTCAGTTTGGTATTTATTATTATTATTATTATTATTATTATTTGGAGTATATTTTGTTAGGTAATTTGCAATTGGATTTTTTTTTTTGGGTGAATCTTAATTAGTCAAATTGCTGGAGTCGATCATGAGTTAACTGTTTCCAATGTTAATCTAGAAGCGATATTGGTCGTCGAATTACTTGGTTGGCAGTTTGTGTGTTCTCTCTAAATATGGAGAGGTGTTAGACTGAATTAAACTTGTTAAATTTTGGGTATTGTTACTGAGTTAACTTTAGTTATGTATCGGTGGATTAAAATATTTAAAACAGCTTTGATGGCGTTTGTTTGAATGAATGTATGGTATTGTCTTGTGCGAATGAGGCTTCAGTCATTGTCTTGCTTTGCTTTTTGCAAATTGAAGTTCGTCCCTGTGTGGTGAATTTATTCGGTAGCGCTATATCTTTCCATTCTTTCCCTAAGTCTAAATTATTTTTTATCCATTGTGATAGTTAGCTGATTTTGGTTTTTCTCTCACAAGGTATTTTTCATTTGATAGATAACTGTATTGGAGTAAGATACTTACAATGTGGTTAAGTGACTTTTCTTATCGTTTTCTTTTCTATATATTTGTTACTTATTAGTTGAGAGAAAGCTAAAAGGGAACTTACAGTGCCTCTTTTTTGGGATTTTCCTTTTTGAACCAGGTACTGCCAATGTAGTATGGCAAGGCATTGTGAAGATGAAGCTGCTTCTGCTTTGCTAGTAATTTCCTACTCTTTGCAATAAGCATGATGCGTTGTATTTGATGCACATATACTGTTATGAAATATGTAAAGATTGCTATGACTTGGTTATACTATGTTAACTTGCAGTGTGTCCTGTTTGTGTTACATCAGGCTCAATGGTCTGTGAATTGGTTGTTTTTGTGACTTGATCTCTTTGGGTTCCAACACTTAATAGTTAACTTGTGTGGATGAAACACTGGTTGATTGGAAAATCAACTTTGTTTATTTTGCTTACGGCTTATGCGTGCTTTACCTGGCTGTTAGTATGAAATAGTTTTGTGTTCTCTACCCTTTCATTGTTCATGAAAACATTACGAGATTGAATTTGAACATGCTCTATGAACCATTATATGCATTAGAAACACTGGAAGCTTTCTTTCCAGTAGTCATAGTGTTTTGAAAAATTGATGGGGATTGTCTTTTTTCGTAGTCTTGTTTTCTGTGATTTGAATCATCATGTGGGTTTGTGGTTGGATTTTAAATAAACAGTATGCGATATGCTTTAGATGCAAGCTGACCAATCTTGCAAAGAAGCTTGCATTTCCCTTTTGCCAAACCAGCTGGGCTTAAAGGCTGTTAATGAATCACTGGCACTCAGCACCTGGTGCACATAAATATTCAAGTCCTGGGATTTTTAATTCACCCGGATGACCATTGTCATACTTAACTGAAGAAACATTGGCGGTCTCTTACTTTCCATGTGCCATGAAGTTAAGGTATGAAACATATGATGCAACCATCCACCTTTCCATTTTATGATGATAGTTCCATGGATATTGATCCATGGAACGGAAATTATAGCCAGTATATTAGCACTAGAGTTTATCTCAAGTCTATGTGTGTCCGGTTGCTGGAGCTGGACGCGTCAGTATACGCGGTTCATCTTGGAGGCTGTTATGTGGAATGAGCAGGTGATACTCTATGATGTTTAAATCGATTAGCTATCCATCAAAACGGATTTCTTTTTGTGGGCATGTACGAGGATGGGTGATTCGATTTTTGAAATCTCTGGTAGTGAATCAGAAGATCCCAACTAGTAACTAGTGAGGTTCGGCAAGATGGGAATTTAAAAAACATGGTGACGCTACGCCTCATGTTGGATCTGTATTCGCCCGGCGTCCTGATCTGGGAGAAAAACGTCTAGTGACAAGAAAAACGTTAGATACCAGAAGTAACTGGATACTAAAATTAAATGGACCTTTTTAATAAATTAGGAAGCACAAAATAAGTATATATCTCATACACACACTCCAAAGGAGAAAAAAAAGGCATAGGCATGTGCCTATTTAGTTCCATTTGAAACTCTCCTCTCACTTGTCATGTGGAGAAGATGTCACTCAAAATGTGATCAAGGCATGGACAGCCTCCATCTTTGTTGTATTTGGGCTTTCGATGAGGAGTGACCTCAAACCTCGCTGCTAAGAAACAATTTCACAGAACACAACGTAGAGATATGCTAATTTCAGCTTCATTTACTATTTTTTTTTTTTTTAATGCGAATTCATTGCAACTGTTCTACTTTTTCTGTGTTGGTGGCTTTGAAACCTAGCTATACCATGTTGGGTAATGATGTCAGGTAATATAAAATTTAATTGACAATCATTTTGATTGTCAGGTAATGTCATAATAATGCTGCTGATTTGCACTGGCTTGCCAACTTGGTGTAGAGGCTTCCCTAGTTCCCTGCTTTATAGAGCCCTCTTATAGCTGTCATGCTGTGTGCAAGGGATGCACTCTGAATGCGTATATTCTCAACAAGTATATGAATAACACTTATTCTGATTTCAGGTTTTACATTCCATACCTCTTTAGGGTTTCTTTTATAATTTGAAAAAATCTTGGGAGTGAAGGGATCGGTGTGATTTTAGAGGGATGAAATTGATATATATTACCCTTCTTGAACACGCAGTATGGAGTATGAACCATTTTATGTATTGAAGACTACTCGGAAGGGTTTCTTCCCAGGAGTCATTAAGGTTTGAAATTGAGGGAGATTCTCGTTCTTAGTCTTTTGTCTGTGGTTTGAAATAAACAGTATGGAAGATGATTTAGACTCGAGCTGATCAATCTTGCGAAGAATTGAAGCTTGCTCTTCCCCTGATATTGAGCACTGGGTGCGCATGAATATTCAACTCCTGGTGACTTATAATGCACCCTGACGTCCCCTGGTGTTTAGACATCCAGGTTTTCAATCTCTCATGACGTCCACTGATAGATGCTCTTCGCAATGCTCTCGTTTTCCGTCGAACCAAAATTAGACTTGTGCAGCAACATAAAGAGTTTAAATTTTCAAGTCTATAGTACTTGATTGATTGACTAATACAGTTTAACCATTCAAGAAATTGGATTCCATGTACGAGGGTGGTGTATTGAATTCTCAATCTGCTATCGGCTCAAAATTAAGATGCGACAACAAAGCTTCAATTTTTAACTACTATGGGTTAAGCTATATGGACGTTCTTAGAAAACCATGGCAATGCTACGCTACGTCTCGAATTGGTTTTGCCTATTGGCATGATCAAGATTTTAAAATCTGATAAAGGGTGGGTTCGGGTTTTGAAAACCGAGTGAGAGAGGCAGGATTCTTTTTTGGGCTATTACAAGGCCAAAGCCCAAAGACACAAAAGAACTAAGCAGGACAAATCCTAGAAGTTAGACCCATACCAGTCAGGCAACAAAATGTCCAATCCTTTGGTCCATATCAGCTTCTTACTAGCCTATGAATCTGGGTGCAGCACCTGTTTCCCAAAGTGCAAGGTTTATTGGTCCCTGACGATCCTTAGGTTTTGCCCTGAACTTTCTTACTTGTGTTTTCTGTCCTTATACTGGAGGGGAGGAAAAAAGTCATACCACAGTGTGAGGTAACAAGAGATTAAAATGATCTGACACACGCAGATCAAAGGAGAGAGAAAAGGCACAGGGACATGCCAATTTGGTTCCATTTGCAACTTTCTTCTCTTACGAGAGCAAAACGTCATTCATTCAAAACGCGATCAAGACCCAGATAGTCAGTTCTTTTACGTAGGCCTCAATCTTTTGTACCAAGGCTTTCGGTGGAGGAGTGACGCCAAAGCAGCTCGTCGCCAAGGAACAATTTCACAAAACACAACATGTTGTGTTGACAAAAAATTGCTTGTTTTTTGACAGTTGTAATAAGTTGACAAAGTCATTTAAATAGTTACTTAGATCGATATGTCATTGTTAAAAATAGTAGCGTTCTGTTCTAAGTTTCTGTTCCACTCCACGCACATTCATTTTTTACACTAAAAGACAGGTTGGAGGCTTCCAATTCCCATGTCGGAAATCTGATTTCATGGGTTGACTCACGAGCCATATCAATGAAATTCTTGGATCTTGGTCTATAAAATAACACTGAAACAGCATTGCATCAATAACATGATGTATTGAAGCTAACGAGACTCGTCAGATTCAATGCTTTGTTCCCTGTCACAAATTTGCCCCTTGTACAACCATCCTCTCCCTCAACAATTGTAATCCCCGTCAATTATTTTTGGGCTTATTTTCAATTCCCAAAAAACAACGCTAAGACATTCACAAGTATCACAATTTGCAATAATACATATAATTAGCGCGCGCCTGCGCACAAATATATATATGTATAAAAGTAATATTCGAATTTCAGTAATAAAAGCTGTCTTATTATGTAATTTAAAATCTATCAAACTTTTCAATAAATGAAAACGAAGCCAAAAAAAAAAAAAAATGCTGATGAAAAGATAATGTATCTGACATATGTGGAAAATTGTATTATATAAAATTTATTTTCTAGCATTTGACGCACACACTTACACAAAAAAAATCGTGATTAGCATTTTTCTAAATCTATATTATATCATGCTTTTGTGGTCCAATAATTTTTCTTCCCACGTATTCAAACTTAAGCCTCCAATTTTTTATAAAGAAAAAATTTAGCCTCCCCTATATTTAATTTGCAACGGTTAAAATATACTTGGTATTGTTAATCATTTTACAATTTTTTTTTTTTATAGAAAAACATTGTTGATAATAATTGAAAAAAATTGGTGACTGTTAGTTGGACACAGTCAACAAGGTATCCCGTAGGAGGAGGGCTCGGCCATCAAAACGGCACTTTGTATGAGTGGTTAAACTTGGCCTCATGTGATTAGCTATTAATGAATCTATTTTGACTCCTTTTATTATTATTATTTTGTATTAACAAAAATAAATTAAAAAATAGATATGATGATAATGATGTTATCTGGTGATGAATAACATGTTAATATATAAATTATACGATGGATCCCACGCCAGACATGCAGAATATGTCTCGCCTATTACCTTTCCTGTCTACTGTTTTATGTTTCTCGTGATCGGTGAGTGACCAACTAACAAATGTCAAAGACATAAACCATATCCACATTATTGTACTAAATTATTTATTTATTATTATTTTTTTATCATCACCTTCTTATTAATACATTTTCCTACAATATTTTGATCGTGATTGTTTTGTCATTAGATAAATCATTCCTTCCTTTTTTATGACATTTTAAACAAATCACCCCACTAAAATTAGAGCATTCAAGATTTTTTTTCTTTTACAGTGTTTTAAAATTCAAACACATATAATAAAATAAAAATAAAAATGGATAAATAAATTAATTTGTTTTTATAGAATAGTCCAAGTTCCTAATTTATCTCTATATTTTTAATTATATCTATTATATTTTTTAATATTATTTAAATATTCAATCTATTATTTTGATCAATTTTTCTAAGCATAGGCAAATATTTTGACTTAAAAAAAATCCTAAAGTTACATGACTTGCATTGAAATTTTATTTATTTATTTTACCTTTCAATCAAAATATTTGCTAATGGTCGAAGAAATTAATCGAATAGACATATTTAAGGCTTAAATAATGTTTAGAAATATAATAATACATCTACCTATTTAGTTATAGGATTCTTTAAATGGTAAACGAAGGACTCAACAATGCTATCTTGATGGATGATATCAGTTAGGACTTATTTACTACGCCAACCAAGATAGAGCATCAAGAATACCATTTGCTTATTGTTTGACAAAGATTTTTCCTCTTTTTTTTCCCCCGTTGATCAAAACCATAAAACACGATGGAATTGACCCTTCAAAATACATGTATAGAAACACATCGAGCTTCGTAAATTTAATTTGTATGCAGTGAATAGTTTTTCATTGTTTGGCAAGAAGTCAAACACATCTTACCATTTATGAGAGAAAGAGAGAGAGAGATTTGCCTGAGGCTTGTGTTGGTGCGTGTGTACATCTAAAGCTAGCAGAGGTAGTGTGGAGGTTGGCAATTCCTTGACTCACGAATCTCTGTCTGCCTAGTGTGACATTAAAAAAATCCCACTTCAAAACTTTTCTCCTTTTTACTTGCAAACTTTTCAACATTTTTTATATAATCTGTACACATGCAAGCTAATCCTTTCTTTAATGTGTACATGACCATTCAAATCCCAATGAGTACTGTTTATTTTCTCAGCATTTGCGGCACAAAGATCGGTTTGAATAATGTTTATTATTTTACCAGTCCACTTATTAACTCTAGGTATTGATAATCTGTCCGGTGATTAACAAGGTTTACTTTTCTCTCTAATCTTTTGAGTTCGAATTTTGATATCAATAATAAGAAAAACTATTTTTTAAATACGCCAAGCCCATATAAATGATATATTTCTAAAATATTTAAAAATATATATGTTATTTTTTAATTTTGATTATTGCACAATATAGGATGAAAGTGTTCTCGACTAGGAAAAAAAAAACACCCTCTTGATTATGCACCGAATGAAACGGAGATCACAATCTGAATTCAATTCTTGCTTTTTTCCCTGCTATTGGGCTGCATGTCATTGAATTTTCTTTTAAAACATTTACTTCTTACTTTAGCCATGATCTCATGCGTCATGCCATCATCCATGTATTTGACAATCTGACACAAATTACTATCACTACTTTGACAAAAACCACTGCTGTCTTAAACTTTTTTGTACTAAAATGTACTTGGCTGCAATGTTGTCATGGAATTTCATATTAATTTTGACCATACACAAATTACCCTTTTTTTTTTTTTTTTTTTGGGACAAAACTACTGCCAGAAAAATGTTACTGTTTTCGCAAATAAAACAATGCCAGGCACTAGCAGCTTTCACAGCCACAAGCAATTATAGGAGCAACTTCTCCTAAAACTTAAAACAAGAATTGCTTGAGACACTCTCAACATCAGCCACTATTGTTCTTTGCAGACACTCCAGAAAGCAGAAAGAGTTCTGCCAAATCCGCAAAATCTATATATAGAAAACAGCCAGCATATATATCATTGCGAGCTAAAACAACAAAGAAAAAATGGTTCTTCGGATAACTGTTTTATCATTCTTTAACATGCAAGTTCGACATCTCCAATCAAATGATCTATGTGTTGAAAAAGAGCTTGCATTTTAGAGGCAGAAAATAAGACAACAAAATTTGAATGCCAGGATGGGATGGCAACGGTGATTAACATAAAAGTCATTTCCTTGGAATGTTAAATTTTGCTACAGACAAGGGAAAACACATCCCAAATGTAGATGAAATGGACTTATCCCACAACACCCAATAGACAAAATATGTGAAAAGTTACAATCAAAACAAAAGTCTTGCTAACTGTACAATTTGATGGAAGTTCGTCATTGTCTATCTTCCTAAATTGTCGCTGCTTGCATCTGAAAGAATTGTTAACCTTCTTGCTGTCTTCAAAAACTCACTGTCACAGCAATCAGAAGTAAACTCTATGAACAAACTGTATAACAATGAAACAGGCCAAAATATTTGTAAGTTAGAGAAAAGGGGTGAAATGAAAATACCTAAAGGGCTCATCTCCGGCGTGTTTGGTGGCACCAGCTGCATTCCGGTAGAGCACATTGCTCAGCATCTCTGAACTCTCAATGCCAAACATATTAGCCAACTTTCTGTGCAGCTCTTCATATGAACCAAGGACTGATAGGTCAAGGGTTCGACCCACATCCTCGGATTCCATGAATACCTTGCAATGACCGGTCTCCAGGCCAAGATCGGTTTTTGGCGATCTTTGTACCAAGGAGACCTCTCATCTGAAGAATTTTCCAGCAGACCATTCTGATGTGATGCAGAACCAGAACCATCAGAATTTGCCTTCCCTAGATTTCCATCTGATGAACTGTTTGCATTTGTATCACCCGAACAGCTTTGGGAACTCTGCTGATCGGCGACAATAAGCTGACCAAACAACAAAATGCGAGGTGTCTTTGTTTCACTGCTTTCCTTTAAATTCTGTGAGGAATTTCCCATCGTCAGCAAGCAAGAAATGTTCTCGCTGTCTTGAGTATTGCTCATGAAGTTACCATTGGAGATTCTAGAAGGTGGGGACACATGATTAAGCTGACGAAAATCAACTGGGAACAGTCCCGCCTGCAGTTTGTTGAAGTGGAGATCTGATGAAGATAGTCCAAATTGAGCATGCCTGGCTCCCTGTATGCCTGCAGGAACGTTATCTGAGACACAGCATAAGGGACTGTTCGACCTAAGTGGGTTGCCGGTGAATGTCGGCATTGGAATTTGACCAAGTAAGGGAAAGTCCGGGGGTTGTGGAAGTCTCAACTTCTTTCTTGGGGGTGAGAAGGGTGAGAGATGAATGGCTGGCATGTTTGATACCAATTCAACCAACCATGGGCTAACACGCTTCACATTCTGGAGTAGATCTGGCTCATCCCATGCTACCTGACCAACAAAAACACGAAAGAAAATATAGTTAGGAAAATAATAATCAAAATCAAATGATTCAAGCCTAGGGCAGGATAGTTGCAACGTGTTCTTATTGATGAATGTATATTAGCTATCTGGCTACATTCTTCCTATCACTTGTAAACAACTAAACTATGAAAAATACCAACAATTATTTATGATGCCATTATATTTTGAGAAATCATAGCTATGCATATTCATACATCCATAAAGACAACAATTTTGTTATCGATGAGAGATAATATTCAGGTCAAGTAAAGGAACACGTGATACTATTGGCATGAGTTACTAAATGAAATTAACTACTCAAAATAGCAGGACATGTATCTTGGACTTTAACTGAGCATTTTCAGATTCACCAATCCAACTAGAACATCATATGTTTCCCAAATTCATCAATTTACATACAAATATATCATTCCACTTCAAAAATAAATCAAACATGTAACAGAAAAAAAAAAAGCAAGGCACCAAGTATTGACGATCTATTAGTATTCCACATCCAAAATTGAGACTCAAAGTACCTGTAGAAGCCGCCATGGAGAATTTGGCCAGCGGATGGGGTCAGCAACCTGAACAGAAGATATAGTTCCCATGAACCAGCTAATCCGAGACGAATCCTCAGTCTCAAAAGCCATTTTGAACCTCATCCCTGGACACCACTGAATCTGCATTGCATTCCTCACAGCTGAGGCCCTTACACAAAATTCTGGAGTACTCGCTCTTGGATAATAGACAACTTCAAAAGGCTGCCCATTGGCTGCAAGAGATGCAGCTTGAACAACAGACTCAGCCTTCACTTTCCCCCTCATATCCCCATTGCCATTCCTCCTCATCAATTTACCCTCATCTTCCCTCAAAAACCCAGAATAGCCCCCAAATGAATTCCACCCTGATGAGCATTCATTTCCACAACCAATCCCTCTCTTTGCACGTCTAATTCCAACACAGAGGTCCCCATTCTCTGCTCTCAAAAACACAATAGAGTCCCCAGCCACAAGCTTCTTTTGGTTCACAAAATTACTCCATCCAGTAGTCAACAAATGGCGACGAGGCGTCCCTCTATAAATATGCCTAAACTTCCAAATCTCTCCGTGCACATCCTTAGCAAGAATGGTCTGCACAGGAGGCTCAGCAGTGTAATCCAATCTTGGAAATATAGTCTCAGCACAATAACGCGGCACAGAGAACCCACCACCATTATTAGCATCAGATTGAGTCAATGTTTTAGCAAAAGAAGCAGGCTTCTCTTGAGACTCAATCCCATTATGCAACCTATCATCACTATCCTCACCACAGCCATCGCTAAACATTAAATCACTACTACTCAATGGGATTAGACTAATTTTGGCATAAACCTCATCAGTGTCAGGATCTGCCATGTACTTAATAGCAGATGCCTTACAAGGGATAAGTGCAGGAATCTGAAAATGACCAAAATCTACACTCCCCTGAGCATGTTCTGCATGACCCTGGGGAAAGTAGAAAACTTTTGTGTTAACTGCTGGCATTTGAACCATGCTACCAGCGCAAGCATGCCATAATTGTGAATCTAAGCATTTTTCTGCCACTCTCGTTTGTTCCTTTTGGGAAATCATAACTGCAAATTCCCTAATCATCGGACCACTATGTAGTTTTGGGATTTGTAGAATCTGGGTAGAACCTGAAATTTGCAAAAGAAAAAGAAAAAATCAAATTACATGAAAGAAGAACAAAAATAAGACATCTTTATTACATATATCAACTGCATAGTATTTCTATCACGTACACACTTAATAACCAAAAACAGAAAAAAAAAGTTCAAAAGATAAAAAGATCAACGATTTTTAGCAACAATTAAATAAAAAAAAAAACAATTCAGGAGGGAAAAAAAACAAAACGAACTTTTTTAGATATTAATGAAAATTAATTTCCTCAAAGCACGAAAAGAAAGAACAACTCACAATCTCTTATCTCTGTCTCAAACATAAATTTTTTAGAGGGAGACGAGCACCAAAATTGAGCTTCAAAAAGCAAAAAATGGTAAGCGTTTTGGATAGAGATCAGAATTGTGAATCTTGGAGAGAATTCTTCCAAAGAAAGTAAGCAAGTAAAAAGTTATGGAGTGAGGGATTTTTTAATGGGTTTTAAGAGTGTGTGAACTTGAAGCTTCCTTTCCTTCGTTGCCGACCAGACTCACTGAGAAGGATTTGACAAAAGAGAGAAACAGAGGAAGAGGAAGAAAGAGAGAGAGAGAGTAACTGTTTTTAGGGGTTTTTTGAAAGAGGAAAAAAAGATTGGATGGCTTTTTAATGATGTGTTTTGGATCACAAGAGTCCACCACCATGGACAATCTTCAGGTGAAAATGAATCATCACCTCTGTGATTTTTTTTTCTTCTGCTAATTTTCTGCTTTATTCACTTTTAAATAGGAAAGCATTAGTACAACTAGGTGTTAACAAGTACTTCCAAGTTCAGTTTGGTCTTTATTGGCGCGTGAATATACGCCCTGATTTTTTTATTTTTTTTTACAGTCGTTTTCATTAATTTTCAGAGGAATTGCTTCTTTAACTAAGCAATTATGGTGTCTTTTCATTTTCTTTTCTGTGTTTTTAATATGCTGAGTTTGTGCCGTAACTCATTAAATTTGAATTGATTCTCTTACTTGAAATTTACTTCTTAATAATTTATTTGATAAAAATAATTCTCAAAATGTTTTAAAATAAGTTTGAGAAAATTATTATGTTTGAAAAACTTTTTTTCAAACAAGTTTGTCCTCCACGTTATTATTTCTAATTCAAATTATGTGAGAAAAAATATTTTTTTATAAATATATCTGTCTAAAATTCCATCAAATTTTTAATTGGTTGTAATATATAAAAAATTATATTTTATTAAAAAACAATAATGAATCAATCATCAAATAGAATTGTTTCTGATATTATCATTTTAAATTAAAATGAAAAAAAAATATATAAAAAAATTCATAGATACATTTATAAAACTTCTCTAAATGACAAATCTAATAATATCCCATCAAATTTCTTAATTAGTTTATTGTTTAAATAATTAAAAAAAAAACATTGACATAAATAGAAAATATTCGTATTGGCCTTTGAGTGTGCAATAGAGATATAAAAAGGTCTGTTCGCCTGATATATATATATATATATATATATATATATATATATATATATATATTTTTTTTTTTTTTTTTTTTTTTTTGGGATGAATGAATTTTTTAATTTTAACCAAACAGGTTAGAAGCACGAAGCATACATAAGTCAACTGTAAATTGTCCCAAACTTTTTGCAAAGTGACAAACACGCGATACAAATAGTAAGTAACGGTGGTGGTTCTTACAGAAGGATCCAAATTATTAAATAAACAAGAAGAGAATTTATTTAATAAATAAAAATTACTCTCACAATTGATTAAAAATTAGATAATCCCAAAAAAAACGAGTTTTTTGGCCTCACATCACAAAAAAATGTTTTGTCAAAAGTAGTGAGTGGTTTAGGCTAAGCTCTGACATCAAGGCAACAAAACCCAAATCCTAACCAGATGCATTTGACCATAGTTAAAGCTCATCTAAAGAGAGTGAGACCAAAGCCCTAACTCTTAGGGTTAACCATGGTTAATAATCGACTGATTACCCGGGCTCTGTTTAATTAACCATGGTCATTAGTCAACATCCTAGACTCACTTCTCACTGGTTGTTATGTGTGTTTCTGATTTTTTGGTCGGAGGAAAAGATTTGGTCAAGGTAATTTTAGGGTTAACGGGAGGACATGAGTGGGATTTACCAACACTTGCTTGCAAGTTGGATTGTTACGCTGAAATTACACAAATGCACTTTAGAATTAGGGTTTTGATTAGGTTAGATTAGTTTTTTTGGGTCCGAATCCAAGTGGATTATGATTTTGGGATTAGGGAATTTAGTTGGTAATGCTTGACGGTGACATTGAGATTAAAGACAAGTTAATCGTGATGACTTTATATATATTAGTTGGATGAAAACTCTAGATTTTTTGGTACTTGTTGATCAAGACCCTGGTCGGTCTAATTAGCGGACATTAATTTAGATTGCTAATTGCAAGTAGAGTCGCTGGTCCAAAGGATTCTCATGAATTTGGATGGCTTAGGGATTTTGAATTTGTTAGGTTGGTATTTTTAGCTTTCTAATTATTATATATAAATAAATAAATAAACATAACATTTGCAATAAGCCAAAATTTCTCTAACAAAAACAAATTTCACATTTTACACTAGCTAATTAAACCCTTTATATCTAAGAGGCGTATGAATACTCCATTTGATTGGTGGAATGAGGTAAAATTAGAGCAAGAAAAAAAAACTAAAGCTTTTTTATATCAAGTATAATCTCCGTATTATTTTTTTTTATTTTAATAATTATAATAGTTTTGAGTATTTTTTAAAAAAAAAACTAGATCGAATGTTAGACAAATTACCCCTCGATATATGACTAACACAGGAGCCAGTTGTTTTATTGGATTTTAGCACGCAGATGCCGACGGTGAATCTAGAAACCTAACGACAAAGAGGTATTTTTCATAAAGAAATTGTGGTAGGCAATTATTGTGTTTTTTTTTTTTTTTTATAGACAAATACTTTACGGCTAATTCAATTGTTAGATGTTTGACAATTAGCATTAGAGTTAACAAAACAGAAAAAATATCATGTTATCACCATAAATTGAATTGACCACAACTACAAAGATAAAAAAACTATTCTAGTTTTTTTTTTATAATAAAATTTGCTTATAATAAAATAATCTAAAGATAAAATCTGAATTATAATAAGTTACAAGTAATATTTTAGTATGTTTTAATCAATTTTTTCATGCTAGTGATATTTCAATGGTCTCTTTTTCAAGGCTCTTGTTTTGGTTCATCCTACGTACCCAAAAATAAGAAAAAGAAACGTTTTTTTCACTAAAAAAATTATTTTTCATGACCACCATTTAAATTCCCATTGGAAATGAGAAAAATTTGAAAAGAAACAAACTCATTATTATCCGAATCTTTCTTTAATGTATTATGATTATATTGTTGTTTTTTTTTTTCAAAAAAAAAAAAAAAGAATCAAGCTGACACTGGCAATGACAGTCTGTGTATGTTGCTTACACAAAAGTAAGGCATACCGAGAGTCGCTTCAGTGAGATACCATAAAATTGAGCCACCCATCAGATCAAACCGAACAGACCATTTATGTGACTGGACTTTTCATAATTAAGGTGGAGACGTGGGATTTAAAATAAATAGTTCTGTTGTTGCATGCGTAAATTTCTGTTAAAAACTTTTAATTGTTGACATAGACTCTGCACCAATATGGAAAGAAGCAGCATGTGGTTTGTGGACACCGTCACACCACCGGCTATTATTCATTGAAGAAATTGATCATGTCATTTTATTGTTCAAGTCGTTTTAATTGCATTAAAAACGATGGGATGCCATTGTCTTTTCAATGGTGTTATCCAAGTTGGAATTTCTTAACTTCAAGCGAAGAAGGGGAAGAAAAGAACAGAAAGCTATCTCTCTGTCTCTCACAACCAAGGAAAGATGAACAATCTCTCGGTAAAAAAAGGGGGAAATGAAGATATATATCGACTTTTGCCAAGAACATTCTTGAGAGTTTCCCGCAATCCGAAAGCACCAAGAAAGAGACCCTTTAACCAGACATATAAGAAACAAATGGACATGAATGGAAAAGACAGAAACAGTTGGAAGTGAAACAAACATTGACAAAGACACCAGTGTTTGTCCAGCTTATCAATTCATTGCTTTTCTCCAACAAACTTTAAACAAAACTTGACCCATCAATTAATGTTTTTCAAGTGACCTCCCAACTATGTATGTAGGTGGGTTTGTTTTCTCCAACCAACTTTTGCGTGCTTGCTTAGTTTTTACACCACCACATACATACATACATACCCTAACCCTAAACATGGGGCATCTCTAGAAGGAATTTTGTCCAAAAGTAAAATGATTGTCTTCTGGTTGTCTTTCATCTTTCGGGTCTTTGACAAGGACCAATTGAACATAAGACAAAAGTTACCATTGTCTCCAGCAATTATTTTTTTTATTTATTTTCGTAAATTACGAAGACTAGAAGTTAAATTTAATTGTTTCAAGCCTTCGAAATATTGCTCAATAATCTCTCTCTCTCTCTTTTTATTCGTTTGAAAGAATTGCTTCGCCACAAGAGGATGAACTGATGAGAACATATTCAACAGAAAAGTTATTTCGGGTTGGTTTTCAAAAAAAGCGAGAAAATTTTGTAGGGCATAATTGCACAAATCATGACGATGGGGATGTTTTCCGATGGCTTCCTGTGAAAGAGCTGATACAGTGAGATTCTATGAAAATTTCAAGGTTCCCATCATTTCAGGGTTGTATTACGAGTCATTTCGAAGCCAGCACGGCAAAAGGTTCATCTTAACCACCCAAAAAATCAGAAAACAGGTAACCAATACCTCTAACTTCGGGATAGCGAAAGGATGCTTTAAAAATAGCAAGGAAAAAGCATCAAAAAAATAGGTTCTAACTGAAACCTCTTTAAAAAATGACGCTAAGAACATTTAAAGTGTTTTAACAAC